CTAGTGGACATTTCAAAGTCCCACACATCTGTTCCTAAACAAACCTTAATATGCAGCCATGGAGCAAAAAAGCTGTTACTGGTCTATGTAATGGAATTATGTATATTATGCAAACACCTTCAGTATTTGCTGCACTGGGCACATTTAACCTGGCAGATGTACAGAGACCTACTGTGTTGAAAATTCAGAAGCCTGTGCTCTTGCCAGTGGAAAGTTTCCACAGCCTACCAGCAGCAGAAACACCAGCACCACTGTATTTATGCCCATGGACCTTCCCACAGGCTTGCTGCGGAAGGTCTGCAGAGCACTCAGGCCACCTCTGCCAGTGGAAAGGTGTCTCTACCCCATGCTAACACCCCTGTCCAAGGAGTTAGGATTTCCCAGGAGGAATCTCCCTCCCTCCCTCCCTTTCCTTCCCTCCCTCTCTCCCTTCCTCTCCCTGCAGAAAGTGTTTAAAACTAAAATGATCAACAATGGCAATAATTTTAGAAGACTTGTGTTGGACACATTACAGCTGCACAAATTAAGGTGTTAAAAGCAGCTGGCACAGTATTATAAACCCATGCCCAGAAAGGAGAGTGATGTTCTAATAATTAACTTTATGTGTAAACACTTAACACACACGTTCATCAGGAAAGCCGATGTGTGATTATTGTTGAAAATAAAAGCATCATATTCAATTTACTATGATTCATAGGTTCAGACCCTTTTTTCTATGAGCTACAGAACAGCTGCTGTGTAAAAGAGTTTGGAACTGAATTATTCATTCCTACACTAGTGAAAAAGCAAGTATGTCTTCCACCATTTCCTACTGGAGAAAAAAGGGAGAACCACAGAACAAACATGGGAAATCAGTGCTTCTGTGCCATCTTCTATACAGCGCACTATATAAGGCTCTTACACAGACTCTGTATGGATCTGCATGGAGTTTGGGGAGTAAATGACAAATCCTGACAAATTATTTTTCCAGTTGGTATTATTAAAATGAGTTTACAAGCAAAGGAAAAAAAGGGGGGGGGAATAAGCATGTCAGCACTATTGCTATACCTGCCCAGGTGATCACCCGGCATAAGAAAGCGTGATGCTCATACCAGGTGTGATGCTAAGGCCCTAACATGCTAAGACCCTTGCCCACATGTGACAGATTATGATCACTGCATGTTGAGGTGCTGCAAGGGCGTGACCAACCCAGATTGCTGAGTGAGGTGGCACTTTTTACAAATGCAACTCTATGATCAAAATTCGGTGCTGCTAGAAAACAATATATTTTATATTGTTATTTTTTGTATTTTACAAACATTTTAACTTAATGTTAAGTTATTGTTTTAACTTAATGTTTGTATTTTAACTTAATGTTGTGAGCCACCCCGAGGCTTCGGCGAACGGGGCGGCATAGAAATATTTTAATTAATAAATAAATAAACCACCATATATAGAAGGCAAAGGGGTTAGCTAGAGCCTTTCTCCCTGATGTGCTCATTCTCTATTTGCTGGGAGTTTCTAAAATAAATATATATAGCAAGGGAAAGTGCTCAAGAGCAGTTCTCACACCAGCTCTCTGAAAGGGTGCAGCCCACTGTGATGCCTGAGCACTCAGTTTCATGTGCAGAACCAAAGCAAACCATGCCATGGCCAACTGCTTATCACCGCTAAAAGGGGCCACAGAGAAAGGCTCTCACCCAAGAACTCAAAGGATGGGTGTGGACCTTCTTTGCCCTCAGGAATGCAATTTTAAAAAATAAATAGTGTTGTAACCCTATGCAAGTTTGGACACTGAAAAGTTCTGCAATTCCCAGTATACCTCAGCCAACATGGACTTTTTCTATCTAAATATGCACAGGATCACACTCCAAATCTGCTGTTCTCACAAAAGCTGAGTTACTATGTTTTGATGCATATGCAGGAAACGAGAGCACTGAGTGCTGATTCTCGATCTGAAGCTTAGCACAGACCTAAAACCATCCTTATCACACTGTGCACAAATGATTATAAGCAGCAGCTCCCATATGCTAGACAAGCATTACTAATAGAGCACAAGCATTAAAACTGGCTCCTGCCTTTCATGCTTATTTCTTAATTCAACACAGCTTCAGAACTTCACAGCTAGCAAAGCTTGATCTAGGCTTTTAGAAGTTCAACAGCTGTAGCTCTGAATTCCACTATTCCATTTGTGGACTTGAAATCAAATTGCATCAGGGTAATTTATGACCCTGTAAGAGGATGCTGACAAGTCTCCTTCAGTAGAACCAGATGTAATTTAGAAAACAGACATCTACTATCTATAAAGAAATATGCAGTAGGTAACACTCCTGTAACTGCAGACCAGTCAACAAGGCCCTGGAAGCAATATTTTGGCTGGATGTACTGGGAGTGACCTAGAGTCAAGGTAAGCAAAACAATATATAAAGGATGGGTCATTGTTCTTTTTAATATACATACTTGATAAATATTTTTTCAAACCTTGGATTACTTGCACAGCCATATCCTACGGTCCACTCTGAAAGGATATTAAAGCAGAAAGAATTGCATGCAATGTTTGTTGGACCATTCATAGCCCATATATCAGAAGTCAGTGGTTTGGCAAACAACGGCAATGAAAGAACACTTGGGAAGGCCTTGCCTGTGTCAGAGAGCAGCAGGAATGGCCGCTGCATGGAGACGGTGACCACAGTCCTATCACATTGACTGGGCTAAAAATCCTGCTTCACAGGGAGCAGCCATGCAGCTAACAAAAGCCTAGGATGGGGGTGGGCAGCTTGCGGCCCTCCTGATGTTGCTGGACTGCACAACTCCCATCAACCCTAGTCAGCATAAATACTGCTTAGGAACAATGGAAGCTGTGACCCATCTATCTAGAGGACCATGAGTTGCCCATCCCTGCTTTAGAACTAAATAAAACTGCACAGAAAGCTTTAGAACTGGAATAAATTTAAAGAATACAGACACCAAAAGTTATGAGCTACAGTGCAAATGGGCCCTCCAAAACACAGCCTGCCGTGATTGGGCCCAGTAAATCTTTTTGAAAACCAACACTAGAAAAGAAAATGTCCTTGTGCAACAGAAAAAGTTAACCT